CAGCCATTCCAGCCCAGAAATCCTGGCTTTCTCCTTCCAGAGCTGTGGAGAAGAAGTACCAGGTTTATAGCCAAGTGCAGGATCCTACCTTGGGTCAAGGGAAGCACCATGTATGTTGCTGGGCTGGGAGCAGCCTATCATCCTGCCTTGGGGCTTCCCTCATGTTGTTTGAAATCCACCTATTGCTCCAACGTGACCTCAGGAAACTCCTGGTGCTGCTTATTTGTCTGAAAGATGGATTTGCCCAGACATCTTTGTTGGTCTTCACCATCTCTCCGTAAGCAGGACTGTGGGTGTCAGGCAGCCCCTCAGCCCAGGGCAGCAAGTGACAAAGCTGGACACTTTCCACCTTCCAGCATTCCTCACCTTTGCCTACTGAGGCCACCTCCATCTTGGCCAGAAGACCATATCCTAGATCTTTCAGGTCCCCTTTCCTTCTCTGTCACTCTCTGACGTGCAAAAGGCAACTGGTAGGAAGACAAATGCCATCAATGAAGTGACTCTTCTTCTTGCCTGAAGTTTCAGCCCAGTGTGCTGCATGTGGGAAGTGCAAGCCATGAGTTGGTTACCTCTTCCCAGCCATGGTGAAAACCTCATCTGTAAGAGTGAACAGCTCCTGCCATGGTCCTGAGTCCCACCACAGCCACTGTACCCTGGGAAGATGAGCTGGAGATGGAGGTTAGTCTCCTCCTTCCCTGCTCTCCAGGAAAATCCCCAAATACTCTTTGGCAAAGCCAAGGAAATGAATGGAAACCTGATGTGCATGGTGCCTCAGATCCTCCTGGAGCACTGTACAAATGGGAGCTAATCACTCTTCCCAATACCTGGCTGAATTGCTGGAGTTGTGCTGCATTATCCCTGTTTCCAGCAGGGAATATGGAAGCGCAGAGGTTGCACCCAGCTGTCTTGCTGCTGGCTTTGCATGGGATCCTGCTAACCTCCCTGTTCCTGCAAGGTGCAAACCAGGGCAAACCCTAATTTCAGGGTTTTGGGGCATTATGGGGACAACAGGAGCAGCCCTGCAGACTCTGCTCTCTTCCCAGAATGACTTTTAGCCTCCTGAGCCAAATGCTGAGAAAGCGCTGAATAACTGCAACAAATCAGATTACTTTTTTGGTTCTTGTCATTTCTGAAAACATCTGATCTTCTGCTGGAGCATCATGAATGATGCTTTGGAGGCCGGTGACTTCCCGCTTTCTGCTTTCAGCCCGGCTGGCTCCTGCCAAGGATGGAGCTCTGCATGGCCCTCAAGGCAATGGAAATTCCTGCAGGAGTTTTAAAAGCCATTTGGAAACAACCCAGCCTTGCTCAAAGGGGAGCAAGCCAAAAAAAAACAAACACCACAACAGCCCAAACCCCAGGCTTAGGAAACACAAAGTGGCCAAAAGCTGCAGTGCCCATTTGCTCTGTGTTTCCATCCCACCCCAACTTGCCCCGTGTTTCCTGCAAGTCCTTTCCCTTTCTCATGCTCCACCTGCTGTTTCCTACAGAGGAATATTCTTGCTGATCCATCTTCCAGGATGATTTCAGTTATTTTCTCCTGGCCTCAGGTTGTGCCCTCTCCTTATCTCTGCTCTTCCCTGCACATGGCCACATCCCCACCCATCTTGGCATCACCTTTATCTTGCCCCAATCCAGCAGGAGCAATCACACCGGGAGTGAGGAAATCTTCCCTGGGGTAAAACCACAGCATTAACAGTGGCAATAAGGAACCTTATTCCCTCAGGCTCTGATTTTGTTGTAGAATTCCCATTCCCAGGACAGGATCAGGTCCTCTTTTCAGCAGGGTTCTGGTGGCTGAGATGGCTTGGCTAGGCTGTCCAGTGCTCTCCTATTATGCACCTGCTCTTGTCCACAACTCTGACCCAGCCCTGGCTGCCCAAGGCACGATGCTGCCCTGACTCTGTGTTGGCTGCTGTATTTCCCCCCATGCAATCACTCCTTTAATCTCATGCAATTAATGCTTCAGGAAGCATCCTGCAAATATTGATAGTAAGGAAAGAGCTACAACATGGAAATGGCTGCTGCTTCAGTTGTTTTGCTGTAGTTGGTCACACGTTACCTCGCTTGGGAGGATTTTCTTTCCGTGTCCAAGATTTCCTTGGCTGCTCTTGGTCCTTTTTTGCCCAGTGCAAAAAGGCCACACAGAAGCAGGGTGGATATTTGTGGCATCTTGGAGGTATCCATAAGAATGACCTGCAGGGCTGGGGGAAGAGGTTGGCACATTTTCCTCCCCAGCAGTTCTTCTCCCTCATGGTTGCTTTGCCTCTTTTCCATGGTGTCCTGGCTTGGGCAGTGCAGTCAGCTGGTGGCCAGGACTAAGTAGAATTGGCTCACTCCCTACTTCCCATCCCAATGGATGGGAACTCATATACAGTTAAAGAGGGCATCTGTTCCTCTGCCCTGACCCTGGGAGGTGCTCAGCTCTCTACAGTTGCACTGAAGTCCTTGAGAACCTCTCTGTTCAGCACCTCAGCAGGTCATTCTGGGGACCTTTTGCATCAGACATGCTCGCCCTGTTAGACCCAGCCCCATCCTATGGCCCCCGTTGCTTCTCAGTACACACTCCCTTTTCAGCTCCCTGCCTCTGGAGCAGCTATAGCCTGTCCAGCCTGGCATGTGAAGTGGAGAGCCATAAAATCCTGTTTCCTCTGCAGGGAGAAAGAGTCTCCAGGCTCCTTGTAAGACGAAGCTTTGTGCATATATCTGCAAATGTTTGGGGGCAGAGGTTAAGCTGCACCGTGTGAGGGGAGGAGGTGACAGTGCTTAGCAATGCAGATCAGGTGGCTCTGAGACCTTCCAGTGGGCCTGGCCAAATCCTGGGTTATTTAGGGGTTTAAAACATAATGAGGTGAGATGAAGGAAGAGGTGCTGTTCGGGTGAGGAAGGACGGATGAACTCAGCACCCTGGAAGGAAGCTCTTTGATCTGCTGGTGGCCATGAAAGTGGCCAGATGACTTGGTGGCCATTGGGAAGGTGACTGTCCCCTCCTAGGCAATCCCCAGGGGCAATCCTGCTGCCTCCAGCAAGGAAGCAACCGGGAGAGCAATGACACCTGGGAAGGCAGATTTGGAGCTTAGGTTTTGCTTTCAGCTACTGCTCCATGATGCTGGGAGGGGAGAAGCAGGACAGGCTGACTGGGATGGCTCCTGGAGCCCTTGCATCCTCTGCCTAGAAAAATGAGGCACAGAGAAGGCATGGGTGCACAGCACTGGGGGCACTAATGTGGGGTGCAGCAGGGACAGCCAGGCTCACTGCTCACACCCAACCACAGAACATGTCTGATGTCTCTCCAAGCTATTTGCCAGCTGTCTTGCTGGTTGTCCTCCATCCTTCTTCCTGCCAACACTGTCACCACCTTCCCTCGCCCTGCCCCACCGGTGCCTGCTGTAATCCCAGTGCTCTGCTTCTCTCCCTGGTGCTAATCCTATAAACCCTCAGTAAATCCTGCCCACCTCACCCTACCTTTCCATGTCCCTTCTCCAAGGCAGTCTTTGTGTGGTTGCCCAGCTTGGGCCTGGCAATGTTTTTTGGGTGCACAAGGCTGTCACCCAGATAACATAGAACTTTGGGGGGTTGCTGGCCTCAGAGCACCAGGAAGGATGCTCAAGCCCTGGGACATTTGTGGGAAGCACTCGTGGTGATTAGATTATTAGATAATTAGGTAAAGCTGATGCACCCCAAGTGCACCCCAAAATATGCCTGGATGCTGGTTTCATGCTCTTGGGAAGCAGTTTCTGTGCTCAGCATGAGCTGCTCCAGCACGTACCCATCTCCAGAGCTACCATGGAGCCCCAGGGACCAGGCAGGGGAAACCCCTGAGGGAATCCTGGGGGTAGGATTGAGATGAGGAGAGAAACGGAGCAAAAGGACATGTAGCTGTAGGGTTGGGGTTGCTCCTCACAGTGAGAGTGAGGCCCATCTGGTGTGGAGGAGCATGGCCAGCACAGCCCATTTAAGAAACCTGGGGCCCTGTGTCTCCTGCCAGGGCTGGGATGTAGCAGGGCAGCCCCGGGCTGGGACCAGCCACAGCATCCCAGTAGCAGCAGTACCAGGTGAGGAACCATCGTGGGGCTCAACAATCTGCCCACGAGAGCTTAGGCAGGCAGTGAATGACTGCATCTTGACCTAGTCCAGGAAAGATTATGGTGACCTAAGAATAAAAACAAACCGTGCGGTTCACCTGGCTGGGATAAAATGCCAAAGTGTGCTGAGCTCCAGGAAGGAAGGGATTAGAAGCCCTGGGCAGATTATGGCCACGTGTTTCTGTGCGCAGGGCAGAGATCGTGCTCCTGTTGTGCTTCCTGGGATCGGTGGGTTTCTTGTGCCTCCATTCCCAGTGCCTTGCCATGGTCCCAGCTGTACTTCATCCCACTGACCACCAGTTAAGCAACTCCAGGGAGTTCCCATGCAAGTGCAGGGGTTCAAACAGGGGTGTCTTTCCAAGGAGAGTAACCAAATGAGTCTCTTCCCATGAGGCCTTTATTTCTATAGAGCTGCTGCCTTCTGCTGCGTGCTGGATGGAAGTGTAGAAATAAATACATGTATTGTAATATCATAGAATCACAGAACAGTTTGGGTTGGAAGGGACCTCGTTCCTAGATCACCTAGTTGCAGTGTCTCTAATACACCATCTGCTTTGCTCACCGTGGGCAGCATGGATGGGACTGGAGTGTGTTCCTGGAGAGCGATTCCTCAACCCCATCTCCTCGTCCCTTCCCTTTCAAATCTGGGGTTGTTCTTGGGTGCTGTTCCTTGAAGCATCACTCCCGCGTGCTGGTGCCTTGGCTGGTTTCACAGAGCACGTGCCTGCAGCCCAACCCAGACTTTACTTCCTCCTCCCACAACATGACATTGTAATCCTTGTTGCAGAGATGGGACTGGGATGTAGAGCTGCACTTTGCCGTTCCCGCTAACGAAGGGCTGGCAGAGGGTGCTGCGAGCGGCCCACAGGATGCCGTGCCATCAAACCCCTCTTTCCTTTTGTCTCCTTTTCCCAGGGACGTACCAGGGCCAGTGGGTCGGAGGGATGCGCCAGGGTTACGGCGTCCGGCAGAGCGTTCCCTACGGCATGGCGGCGGTTATCAGGTCACCCCTGAGGACGTCCATCAACTCCCTGCGCAGCGAGCACACCAACGGCACGGCGCTGCACCCCGACTCCTCGCCGGCCGTGGCCGGCAGCCCCGCCGTCTCCCGGGGTGGCTTCGTCCTCATGGCCCACAGCGATGCCGAGATCCTCAAGAGCAAGAAGAAGGGCATCTTCCGGCGGTCGCTGCTGAGCGGGCTCAAGCTCCGTAAGTCCGAGTCCAAGAGCTCCTTGGCCAGCCAGAGGAGCAAGCAGAGCTCCTTCCGCAGCGAAGCCGGGATGAGCACGGTCAGCTCCACCGCCAGCGACATCAACTCCACCATCAGCCTGGGCGAGGGCGAGGCGGAGCTCTCTGTCATTGAAGATGACATCGATGCCACCACCACCGAGATCTACGTCGGGGAGTGGAAGAACGACAAGCGCTCGGGCTTCGGGGTGAGCCAGCGCTCGGATGGGCTGAAGTACGAGGGGGAGTGGGCCAGCAACAAGCGCCACGGCTACGGCTGCATGACCTTCCCCGCCGGCACCAAGGAGGAGGGCAAGTACAAGCAGACCATCCTGGTCAGTGGCAAGAGGAAGAACCTCATCCCGCTGCGGGCCAGCAAGATCCGCGAGAAGGTGGATCGGGCCGTGGAGGCGGCTGAGCGGGCGGCCACCATCGCCAAGCCGAAAGCGGAGATCGCGGCGTCCAGGTAGGGTGGTGCCCGTCCCGACCTGCCGTCTCGGCTGCGGGCGGGTGGGAGGAGCGAGATGAGACTTGTTTTTGCGGTAGTAGGTGCGTGGGGGGGAGGACGGTGTTTTAGGGAAGCTGCTGGAGGTGGGCAGGTGGCGTGGTGGGCATCTGCTGGCACGGGGAGGTGGGTGCTGTCTTGGTCCCGAAGGAGAAATGGGCAGCACCCAAGCTTCTGGCCTTGCCCAGGCCTCGTGGGTGATGTTCAGAATGGGGTGGATCCAAGCAGAATGGTCCCTCTGCTGACTTGGAGTGAGCTGTGGACGCACGACCTTCCAGAACCAGCTGACAAGGCCGTGCAGGGTCCCTCAGAGCTCTGCTTTCACTGCAGCCTGGGTCAGGGGGTTATACCATGAGGGGACTGCACCTGTAGGTCATGGTGCAGGGCTCTCACTTAAGGGGTAGTGGGTTACCTACCACATTTCTCCTTAGCCTCTTTGATAAGCAGGATGATAGCCCTAGCAGAAGAGCTCCTGAGATGCTATGTGACTGTATCTGGTAGCCAAGAGGAACCATCCCAGGGCTGGCTTGTGCCAGGAGGATTCCCAGCTATTTCTGTTCCTGAAAGAGGTTTGGGGAGGAAAAGCAGTCAGGTCGCTGGCTGCAGCTGATGGCTGGGGAGAGTTTGCCCTGCCTGAGGCTCTACTAGAAAGCAGATTCTAGATTCTGGTGCCCAAATAACCCCTAGAAGCCCCAGGAAGCCCCTGCTTCTCAGGCAGATGTAGCCATCATGCAACTGCTTGGTGATTGACAGCAGGACCCTGATCCAGCTGAACACCAGCAGGACCTGGGGGGGTGGGAAAATGGGTCGTGTCTAATTTAGTTTGAAACAGGGTCCAGCTCCCAGCTCCAAGCTGGGCCCACTCAGATGCCTTGGAGCTGACTCCCAAAATGTGCCTGGAGCTTGGTGACATGCAGCAAACTCCCTGGCAAGAGGTGAGCTGAGGAGGAAAGGCTCTTCTGCTACATTCAGGGCTCTCTGCACCACTTTTTAGGGTTGGTTTAATGGAGCATGGTCATTCCTTTCTGTGTTAGAAGTGCGTGCTACTTATGGCAGCCAGGGTGGGGAAAAAGGGCTGGAGTTGCAGGGAAAACCCTTGTCAGTCGCCTGTGCTGGATCAGTTGTTGGGTCTGGATCATTTGTGTGCAGAGTCGGGCTTGAAATCTTTATCACTGTGTCTGCCAATGACTGATCTGCAACGTGAGTGAGACTCCCAGGTTTTGGGAGCATATTTGAGCTCGATGATGTTTTCAAGCTGATGTTGTATCAAATTGTTGACAAAGCTTTGGGGAAAAAAAAATAAAAATCAAAATGCCACTATGTTGCCAGGTGGGAAACAGACTGCAGAGCAGTGGAAAGACCAGATCTTTCCCTGTGATCTGGGCATGTGAATGCCTCCATAGCAAGGCTTGGATCCTGGATATGTGAAGGTGAGGTGGGATGCCAGGTCCGAGAATCTGAGCATCCTCCTTCCCCGGGCAGTCATGGTCCTGGAAAGCCACAAAAGTGGGAGTTGGAAGAGATATCATCCCCTGTGCTGGAAATGCTTAGTGAGCTTTTGGCATCTAATGTTCCACCTTACAATTATGAAAGAGAAGGAGAAAAAAAAATCAAATTGTGTACGAATGCCAGGGCATGAATACTTTCCTCCCCTGTGCTGGCCAGAGTTATGTGGTCCTGAGCTCTGCTGGAGCACAGCAGCAGTGCTGGGAGGAAGGATGCAGCCCCTGACCACGCATGTGCATGGAGGAAGAGACAAGCTGTAGGATTTGGGGACCACTCAGGGAACCCCTTTAAGCACCAGTAAAAATGCAAAGAAACAAACGGTTGGGAGTGCAGGGCTTGGAGATGCTGCAGCAGAGACTGAGCCTGCAAATGCTCGGGGAGCAACTTGACATCTCCATCCTGCAGCCTGGCTCCCTCCACCCTTTGTGCTCGGTCTGAACTAGTCTGGTCTTGGCTAGACAGATGGGGAGGAGGACAAGGGAACCCAGAGCTTTGCTGTCCTCCTGGCACAGCCATCGCCAGCGGGGCGGGGGGGCTGCTGGGGTGTTGAAAGGCTGTTATTGATCTGCTGCACAGCCCGTCGCTGTCTGCGGGAGCTGGGGACAGACAGACTCCAACGAGACACACACTGTGCATTAGTGCTGGGTTACCAACTGCAGATGACCTCCCTCCCCAGGGTTTTTGCTGCCTCTGTTGATGGTTTGTGTTGAGACCCCAAAATCTTATCAATGGAGAAGCAAATTATCCAGCTCTGGCTGGGTGGGATTTAGGTGTTGCTGGGGACTCCAGGCAGGTGGGATAGGGCAGGCACACAGGCTCAGCTCCAAAATCTTGGAAGGTGTCTTGGGTTTGCAACTCAGCTGCACACAGGAGAGGCCCAAGGAGCTCAAAATGCGAGCAGGGAGAGCTGCTTTGCCTGAAACTCACCATCCTTCAGCTCGAGCTCTTCCCCTTTGTGAGGGTTTTTGCCTGGACAGTCTCTCCTCAGCATGCAGAACCAGAAGAGAGCCAGGCTTTACAAACCTACAACAAGCTAGAAAGGCTTTCATATAATTAGTCTGATTAGTTAAAAAGCTTCTAAATGAATAAACACTTCCCTGCCCTGCCCACACCAAACTGCATTGTCCAAAAGGAAAGGATCACCCCAAATGGGCAGCAGGTGCATTGGTGGAGGAATCCTGGTGCTCATTTCAGTGGCCTTGGGGCTCGGGGGTGCAACATCCACCATCCAACACCAACATGACCTCTGGCTTCCAGCACCTGGGGATCTGATACCAGCACTGGTGTGTGGCTGTGGATGTGTGTGTATTCTCTTCTGTCTAGTAATATGGCTGAGTTCACTCTGCAGCCTTTCCCATGGTGGGGGAAAATATGTGCCCACCCACGTATTTCATTAAATTTGTAAGAATCCAGTGTTTTTGAAAACTCTGCCACTCTGTCAGATTTTGTTGGAATTGGCCAACACGTTCAAAAGTTATTAGTGTGGGAGTGATGGCATCTAGATATATAAACAGCACAATCACATAAGTAAGCCCCATTTCCTGAGGAAAGTAGGCTAAAAACATAGTGTACGGTAGACAAGTAAATTGGATTCTTACAGTTGTTTTAGTCTGAACAAAGTACAGTGGTATCTGTGACACAGAAAAATAAGCTCATTTAAGGAACAGTTCTTAGGTTCAGTAGGTGTTTCTCCTAAATTTTCTTTGATGCAATTAAAGTGAAATAACTTTCTTTCCTCTTATATCCCTCCCTAAAGTAGTTTGTGTTAGTCTGAACAAAGTACAGTGGTATCTGTGACACAGAAAAATAAGCTCATTTAAGGAACAGTTCTTAGGTTCAGTAGGTGTTTCTCCTAAATTTTCTTTGATGCAATTAAAGTGAAATAACTTTCTTTCCTCTTATATCCCTCCCTAAAGTAGTTTGTG